GCCACAGTGCGGAAGAAATCAGCTTATACATGCACCGTGCTCCCAACAGCACCTGGCATGCAGTAGGTGCTCCCCCAGGGCCCACCGCGTGCTGACAAAGCAAGCTCAGACAGGAAAGTGACCTGCTCAGGCCACACGACGCAGGGGACTCAGGCAGGTCTGAGGCCCAAGCCTTGACTCCAAGCCCCCTCCCGGCCTCTCCTTTCCCGCCCACAGGCCTGTGCCATGCACCAAAGATGGACAACCACCACCCCCCAGCTCCACCACAGCCCTCCCACCCCGCAGTCCCCACCCGATGGAGGCTCTGTGGGGAATTAGTCCTCCAGGCTCTGAGGAATGTTCCTTTCTCTTCACTTGCTGTCTAGATTACTCCGTTTTTCAATCAAGCTTCCCAGCAGCCTCCAAGATGAGCCGTAATTAAATTCCCATAAAACCACAGGCAGAAATGCTCCCATCCGTGGTGTGTACCTCCCTCCCCCGGGAGGTCTGGTGTCCCGATGGTTATCTGTCACCTCCAGAGCACCTGTCACCCGTCACCCACCTCTGTCATCAGCTCTGAAGGGTCTCTTGAGCCCTCTGTCCTGTGGCCTGATGCCCTCCATCAGCCACTGCCCACCCCCACCCCCCGGGCCAAGAAGACCGGCCTGTGTCTTCCACCCCACAGTACAGTTTCTCCTGTATAGCTTTGGCCAGTTCAGGAGCCAGCTACAGCCTTGCCCAGAATCGCTCAGCCTGGGGTGGCAGAGCCAGGCCTTTGTCTCGGGGCTTCCATCTCAAAATCTTGGCCCTGTCCAGCAAAGCAGGTGGCAGGGAGAGAAAAGGCCTGCAGATGCATGCTCAGCAATCATGACTTGTGGACCCAGCCTTCCCCGCCCCCACCCCATGCCTGTACCAGCTGTACCAGGCAATGTTCCATTTCTGGGAGGTTCCTGCCCTTGGTGTAAACTGGATCCAGGTTCAGTGCCATCTGTGCCTCTGGCTAAGGGGTGTGGGTGCAGCCCCGCCCCAAAACAGTCATCTATTAGAGAACCCTGTGGCCCAAACGCTCTGGGGTGGGTCACTCTGCAAGCCTCGTGACCTCATGCTGCTTTGAGCTGCTCTGTGGAAGAAACTTACCGCTAAGGTCACAGGCTGAGGCCACAGCCCCCAGCGAGCCGGAGGCGGAACGGTCATTCCAAGAGTCGTTCACCCCTGGATTCCCCAGGTAGCAGCCCACTTCCCAGAAGATGAGATGGCAGACAACCAGCTCTCCTCCGAAACTCATTCTCCCCTTTCTTCCAGGGACAAAGCTCCCAAATTTTAGCTGGGCACGTGGCTGCCCAGAATAGAGCCCACATTCCCCAACTCCCTTGCAGCTCAGTATGGGACTCAGTCCTGACCAATGATGTGTGGACAGAGCGCCATGTTGTGGCTTTCAGAGCTTTTCCTTAAAAGATAACTAGGGCTACCTCCCCTTGCTTCCTTTTCCTCAGCCCCTCCTGACCCTTCTGTCTAGACCCTGGATGTGATGGCTGGAGTTCTAGCAGCACCACCGTGGTCCAGGAGGCTCACATCACAGAACGATCGCTGGAAGAAGTCTGGGTCCTTCCTCTGGGCTTTTCTATGAGAGAGAAATGAGGTTCTATCTCATTTAAGCCACTGTTATTTCAGGTCTCTGTTGCTACAGCAACTTGAGTGGTGGGTCTCTGAGGCGGAGAAAGAATCCTGCCTCCCCTTCAGGCTCTGAACCAGAAAAGAGGATGAACGCTGGGAGCACGGAACCACGACGGTGCCGAGGTACTCAGATGGGGAGCTGGGGGCTCCAGGCAGCAGCCCTCGCGGGTCTCCACAGCTGACGCTCTGCATGGAGACAGAGTGCGGACCCCTGCTCCAAATACTCCGCTGCTATTCCTGGAAGACCGCCACCCCCGCCGCAGAGCAGGGAGCCCTGGGCACGTCCCCGCAGCAGCTGCCCAGGCTCTCTTGAGGCAGGCAGAGCCCCCTTGGCATGAAGGACAGCGACACCCTGAGGACTCCAGCAAGCCCCTTCTTTCAACACAAAAGCAGCGTCACTTGGACTGTGCTAACTGCCTGCGGGAACTTACAGGGTAATTATGGCCATTAACAGCATGCTTAACAGGGCTGCCTTAGGAATAGCGGGAGTGGGGCGGAGGAGTGCTGGGGCTGTGCCTCCCAGAGATCTTCAGGGAGGAGCAGCCCCGGCTCCGGGAGGCTGGAAGGTGAGAGTCAGCACTGCTCCCATAAGAACAGCTGTGGGGGTGGGGAGGGGGGTCAGGAAAAGGCTCCAGGAAATCCCAGCTTCTGCCCACCCTCCTGGAAGAATACCAGCCCGGCTCGGTGTGCACGATAAGGAAAATCCAGGGCGCAGCGGTCACGGCCCACCCACAGAACAATTCCTGCTGGCCTAAGACCAAGCCTGCCATTAGGGTTCAGTCAACACGTTCCTACCCAGCATGGAGGGGGCTTCCCCACCCCCATCCTGCAGGCAACTCCTGAGCTGAGGACACCTGAGTGTGAGGTTTCCTGGACCTAACAGAGTGGAGCCTGATTCTCTTCCCACTGGGAGTCGGTCACCAGCCCCTCACACGTGTGGCTCAGTGTGGGTCACCCTTACAACAGGATATAGGTAATGGCCATTAGAACCTGTCTCCAGGCCATGTCTGCACTGATCTAAAACGTATGGTCGTATCCTCACTCAGCAGCTCACGCTCCTTCGGTGGGTGCCCATGAACGAAGTGCCCTGCTGCACGAGGCATTCCAAGTACCCCACGCTGACCCAACAGTCTGCGAGGCCTGCACAAGCACCCCACGCCGCTGTCGTGTCCCACGGTGCTCAGGCCACTGTCCTGTCTGGGAAGCCCAGGCTGCCACCCGCAGTCTTGCCCACCAGGGACAGTCCTATTTCCTGTGCACACTGCAGTCCGACCCATCACCGGTCCCCTGCTCCCCGACCGTGCACATGCACACTCCAGGCCCACGCTCGCCCTTGACCGCAGCCCTGATTCTCTACCCGTGAAAACTGAGAGAGACCCCCAGATCAGTCCCTTCCATCATAACGGGAGATGTGCCAGCAGCTGCCATTCCCAGGGGACACCGTGAACCAGGACCCATGCTAAGTGCTCGTCAGATGTCGTCCCAGTTACCTCAACCGCAGGCCCGGTGGACAAACCACTTATTGTCAACATCTGAACAGAAAACAGGCAGAGCTGGGTCAAGGGACTTGGCCAAGGCTACATGGCAGCAAGAGCCCAGATTCGGGTATGACCTCAGCCTGTCTCCCCGCAAAGCCTGCACTCTTTGCTCTGAAAAGACCCTCCCAGCAGTGTCCTCCCTGACCCCGTCAGTACACATCACTCCTCCCGTGGACCTGAGGACACGAGACGTGGCTGCCGACCTGCAACTCCTCCCGTGACTTGGCCCTTCTCGTCAGGATCGGATTCATATCCTATCCCTTCACACACAGTTGGTGTCCAATGCACACACCTCCTGGGAAGAGGCGGATTTCCTTTCCAGAACCAAAGTTTAGCGGGAACATCCCTACAGATCTTCCTTCTCATCTGAAGGTTCTAGTCGGACCCGGGGAAGGAATGCAAAGGGAAGGGAAGCTGACATCATCAATGACCATTCCAGGCCCAAGGGGAAAAGGAGGCTGGCATGCTGAAAAGGCCTGCCGTTTGGGGGCCACCCAGGAAGGTCATGCTTCATGCCACCTGCCGAACGCCAGGCAACCTCGGAAATAGGCCTCGAGACCCCTTCCAGGACAGCCAGGTCCAACACCAGCTCTTCCACAGGGTACGTTCCTTAGAGAAGCAAGGAATCGCCAACTCTCCTAGCCAAGGTCCAGGCCGGCAGGTGCTTGCTAGATCTAGGGCCCTCTGGCCGCGGACACGTAAGTTAAGCTTAGGGGCTACGAGCTGACAGCCCAAGTCGGGGAGACCTGGTGGGATGCTGCCTCTGCTACACACAGGCTGTGCGATGTCGGCCCATCTGCTAACCTCTCAGTCTCCACTACTGTCTGCAAAACAGGGAGGACACCCACTCCTATGAGCATCGGAAGAGAGAAGTCAAGGAGGCTTAACCTTGCAAACAGGCTGCCTCTGGTCTGGCGAGCCAAACTCTTCCCACCGGTCCCACCACCACACGAATCAAGGGCAGGCCAAGTCACCACCCAAGTCAAGGGCCAGGATAGGCCACACTCATGGTCTGGACGGCAGAAGTGGGGGCCGCCTCTCCCGCTCCTTAGATGAATCTTCACACAGCCCTAGGACACGGGCAAAGCACTCTTCCTCAGAATCAAACAAGAATTCTCAGCAGGAAACGCTTGGGGCAGGCAAAGAGAACTAGGTTACTGTTAACATGAATCTTTCCCAAAAAGCCCTTCTCACATAAACAAACACCTGGGGAAGGCAGTCCAACTCCTCTGGAGCGGCCCGGCCCAGGAAGGTGGCGAGAAAGAGTCCTCAGAGACAAGGGGATGTTGCTGGCAAGAAAAGGGCCTGCAGCTAAGCGGGAGGCTCCCGCCCTCAGGAACAGAGCGTACCCCGCGAGGTCCAGCCGCCACGTTACACATCTCCCTGTGTTTGATTAAAGGCCCTTCAATCTCTGTTTGTCTCCCTTGCCCAGTTACGTAACTCCCCTTCCCTGCCCACTGCTCCGCTAGTCTACACACACTCCTGCTCTCAAACTGCTGTGTTGTCGGGACACTTCATCACTCTGTGGGCTCAAGACAACAAAACAAAACCGTCTTGAAGTGCTTGCAGACACTCTGTCTCCCAAAGAGCACCCTGGGGCTTTTATTTCCTAATTCTGCTGGGCAGAGGAGAGAAAATGGCCCTCCCCAGAATGTGTGCCCCTGGGGAATTCAACTCCTTCCTGCCCCAAAGGGCTTAAAAAAGATCAGACACCCTGTCCTCCCCCTCCCCCCCGCCCCATGCAACGACCACCCTGTCCCTGTAGAGGTGGGCCACCTGCCGTGGGGGCCAAGCCACGTGTGTCCGTACCTTTCATGTAGGCCTCGATCTTCCGGATGAGCTCATAGGACTTGGAGCGGTCGAGCAGGGTCCTGATGGCAGGAAGAGGGTCCAGGACAATGGTCTCAGGGTGCGCATCGATATATTCCTGAAAGCAAAACACACCTCTTCCGGTTGGAGGCGGGAGGCTGATGCAGAAACGAGGTTTCCGCAAGATTCCATCCCACGCACCCTCACGGCATCCATCCCCCTCCCCTCCCTCCGTCCCTCCCTCCACCAACCCTGACTTCGGTCTGGCGCTTCACACTGTCTGGGAGGATCACGTGACGCTGGTTAGACCAATCAGCACCTTCCACCCTGGCCACTGGCTCCAGAAGAGGGCACGTGACCCGAGTCGGTCCAATCAGATGCAGGCTCGGAGCTCTTGCTAGGAATGCTGGGACAAGGCCATTCTCTCCCGCACCGAGGGGCCCGGGCAGCTGGGAGCAGTCACCCTGAGATCTGAGGGAGAGGCCTGACAAAGCCAAAACCGAGAAAGGGAGGCCAGAGTGAAAAAACAGAGCTGACAAAAGGAGCGCGAGCAGGTTCCGGCCAGCTGGTTTGGCCCCTGGATAAAGCCTCGCCTGAAACCAGCCTGCTGCCCGAATGGATGACACTTGAGGAGAGTGGCCCAGCACCCTGCACGGATGAGGATTCTGGGGCAGGGCCAGCGAGAGCGGAACGAATGCTGGGATTCAGGACAGGGTGGGTGTGGAAGGCAGGATGAGAAACCGGCCACAGGGTGGCCCCCTGGCCCTCAGGTACCCCCTGCAGCATGCCTCTTCACTACCCACTAGCTTCAGGGTAGACTGCGAAGATGCAAGCAGGGCTGTGACCAAATCAGCCTTTAAGGAAGTTAGGATCTCCTTGGGGAAATAACGCTAAGGCACATGAGGAACGAGAAACTACTGTCTCTAACAAAATTCAACAGGAGAGGGCGCCTGGGTGGCTCAGTTGGTTAAGCGACTGCCTTCGGCTCAGGTCCTGATCCTGGAGTCCCGGGATCGAGTCCCGCATCGGGCTCCCTGCTCAGGCAGGGAGTCTGCTTCTCCCTCTGACCCTCTTCCCTCTCGTGCTCTCTATCTCTCATTCTCTCTCTCTCTCAAATAAATAAATAAAATCCTTAAAAAAAAAAAAATTCAACAGGAGACTGGGCAAAATGCTTCCAGGAAAGGAACACAAGGATCCCGGCCCTGCCACTCGGCACCTCTGTGACTACAGGAGCCCCGGCCACATCAGTGGGCCAGGGCAGCTCAGCAGGCAGATGCAGTAAATGGGACCATCCGCCTGGCCCCAGAACACTGATTCTAAGAACAAAAATATAGCATGCTGGAGTAACAAGAGAGGGGCTCAGACAACCAGCTGTTGTTATTGTGAGCTGAATTGTGTCCTCAACAGATCTGTTCAAGCCCTAAGCCCTGGTGCTTGTGAGTGTGACCTTATTTGGAAATAGTGTCTTTACAGATGGAAGCAAACTAAAATGAGGCCACACGGGATTAGGATGGACCCTAATCCATTGACTGGTGTCTTTAAGATGGGGGAAATCTGGACAGAGACACACAGGGAGAAGGCCATCTGAAGACAGAGACAGTGATTAATGTCATGCCTGCCAAGGACCACTGCCACCACCAGAAGGCAGGAGAGCAGCACGGGACAGATTCTCTCTCGGTGCCTCCAGAAGGAACCAACCCTGCAGACACCTTGACTTCAGACTTCTAGCCTCCTTAACTGTGAGAGGAAAAAAAAACTCCTGTTGTTTTAAGCCACCAAGTTTGTGGTGCTTTGTCAAGGCCACCCCAGGGAATGAATACACCAGCTTAATTCATCCCCCTGCCCACCCAGTCTACAAGATCAGTCTGCAAGGTCAGCAAAGGCCAAGAAAAAAGCCACAATGCTTCTTTTCAAATCAGCCTTATCAACAAAAAAGAAAAGCTCCACTTGGAATTACTCTTTTTTTCAGTGAACCTATTTTGGTTCCTAGTAATCATTTTTAAGAGCTCTCAACGCAAAGCCAGAGATTTATATCTGCTCCTCCTCTGAAATCTGCTCCCCCCTTGTGTTTCATACCATAACCAGTATCTGGTTATGGGCTCATTTGTATCTTTTTCTTTGAATGTTTAAAAAAACTTCTCTGTCCCCAATGGGTGGCCAGTACATGCCCATGGGGAGCCTTTCTTCCCATCCTCACACCCATGAACTCTGGGAGGCCAACATGCTCTTGGCCCCTCTCCCTGCACACCCATCCTATAGACATAAACACAGAAGAGAAGCCACCTTCCTCCTCCTCCCAAGAGAGGCAGCCATCAGCAAGTCAGCTCAGTTCCTGGCCCACTTCCCTGCTTATACAGAACAAGCCTGGCAGCTGATGTGGGCGAGCCCACGTCTGCCACCCACCGGAGCCGTGAAGACAAGCTGAGAAGTGTCTTTAAGGAAGGTTTATCCAGAGCTGCCTTCACGCCAGGGGCCATGCCCAGCTCTACTCTCTCCAGCCTTAGCCTCGTGTAAGTGCCTACATCTCTCCATGGCAGGCTCCCCAGCAGCAACTATCCCCTGTCAACACTGTTCCTTTGACCCAGGTCTACACTGCCTCAAGAGTGGGTCATTCATGAGACACCAAGATTCCTGCATACCTATGAAATCATATTACTGTCTTCATGTTAAAAGGTCATCCACACAACAAACTACACATCATTCACAGTGCTCAGGGCATCGTGCAGAGTACTAAAGACACACGGATAAATGAAAGCTTTCTAGGCTTTCTCCTACTGGATCTATAATCCTGGCCAACGAATTCATGTTCTGGGTTATGACCTGAAAGCACTGAACTGTCCCCATACCCCCTGTTCCTCCCCTACCCCAACATGCCAGGAAGCAACCTGGTACAGAGAGAAAAGTGAGGGCCCAGGACTCAAGAAACCCAGGTTCCCACTGTTACTGCCTTCCAGGGTCACCCTGGGCAGGCCACTTGGTTTCTCTGGGTCTCAGTTCCCTCATCGGTGACTTAAAAGCCTAAACTGGAAAAACAGAGGACTGGTGATTATGGAGGCAGACTGTGGGGCCACACATGGGGGCTGTTTTAGAACTAGATGGATAGCCACCTGCTAGAGGCATTACAGATAATGCTTGCTGCCTTCCTTCTGAAAGGAGGCAGTATCAGGGGTGCTAGCTTCGATGGGCTGGCCCAGGTCTCCCCCAGCAACTGAGTCCCCTAAAGTCCAGACATGCGCCTTCCTCCCCCTCGAAAATCCCCCCCCCCAAGTCCCAAGAAGAGTACCCGAGTAGTTGCTGGATCTGGTTCCACTTTTATGCGTTAGGGCAGTGACCTTTAAAGAGAGAACTCCAAATCATTAAGACATGAATTTAAGCCAAACTCATAAGGGAAAGAAGTTAGAAAAAACCAAGGGGGAAAATATCTGACAAGCAGGCGCCAACAAGCTTTTGACCCAGGATGAAAGCATCAGTATTAACAGAAGAATTATTCCTAAACACGATCTCTTTCGGGACAACGACAGGGAGGGCAAAGAGTTTTTCCAATCGCCCCGCTATCCACAAGTGGATTTCCTTCCAAGCCTTTCAGCTTATCTATTGTACCACAGGCCTCATGCATTTTTCACAAGACTCTTAGAATTACCAAACAAATTGCTGGAAGGGTGAGCGCCCTGTACCATTTTATCACACCACTCAGAAGAAGAAAGGCCCAAACGGTCTCCATGGCAAATGGTAAACACATGCTCCTTTAGAGCGCCTGCCGCATAACACCTACAAAGGGAGCCTGGACGTTAGCAAGGGGGAGCCCGGCTTGAGGCAGATTGAAAAGGGGGGAGAGCAGAGACAGAGAGCCCTGGTCAGAGGGCCAGAGAATACAGACTGTTGAGGGGGCAAAGGGGAAGAGGCCAGCCAGGTGCCCCCCTGCCCCCCCAGGCCCCAGGGATCATGATGCCAAGAAGGACGCTGAGCCCCCTCTGCTGGGCTGGGGGAAGTCAACGTTTTGCCACCGAGAATGTGAGCCAGATGAGAGGACCAGGATGAACCCCACAGATCCCATTTCCTCTGCAGTTCCATTTATGGACAGGAAATGAGCAGGGAGACACAAGAGTTTGCTCTTATCTAACAGAAAATGCAGGCAGAAGTCCCAAGTTCAAATCCTGCCTCTTCCACTTACCCTATGTCTATGAAAAAGAAACTGCAGTTTATCTCTGAAATTCTGTTTCCTGGTGTGCAAAATGTGCATTTTTTTCTCCAAAGACTCATCTATCTTATCAGAGAGTGCGCGTGCACATGCACGCATGCACACAAGTGGGGATAGGGGCAGAGGGTAAGGGAGAAGAGAATCTCAGGCAGACCCCCTGCTGAGCGCGGAGCCTGCCCCGGGGCTCCATCCCCTGACCCTGAGATCATGACCTGAGCCCAAATCAAGAGTTGGACACTTAAACTGACTGAGCCACCCAGGCACCCCTGCATTTTATTTTATTTTTTAAAGATTTTATTTATTTATTTGAGAGAGAGACAGCGAGAGAGGGAACACAAGCAGGGGAAGCAGGAAAGGGAGAAGCAGGCTTCCCGCCGAGCAGGGAGCCCGACGCGGGGCTCGATCCCAGGACCCTGGGACCATGACCTGAGCCAAAGGCAGACAAGCTTAACGACTGAGCCCCCCAAGTGCCCCAAGGCACCCCTGCATTTTAAATAAAACCTATCTCAGGGAGCTGCTGTGGGCAACAAGACCTGGACGTGAAAGGAGTTGGTAGACAGAAAAACAGAGAGGATTCTCATGATTGGACAACATGTGGACTCTCTGCACCAAACGTGACCCAAGGTCTCTGAGCTCATCCTTCCGTGCCCCATGCAGCAGACTGCGGGGCAGGCCAGCCCTGCACCTGAGGCGAGCACAACAGGGCTCTTCTGGCCGGGGTCACCCCTCCCGCCGACGCCTGGAGCACCGCACAATCCCCCAGCTGGCGGCAGGCCAGGCTGCAGGGCGCACCCCTCTGTGGACAGGTCCCGGCAGAGCCCACAGTGCCAGAGGCGGCCGGCCAGTCGGCTCCTTCCGGGGGTAGCGAGAAGTGCCCGTGCCCAGTTCCCCCCCCGGCCCCCCAGTTCTCAGAGGTCGTG